AGCATGACTGTGTAAATATCACTAATAATGTCATYAAAATGCAAAAAAAGAATTCCTAAAAGTGATGATCAACTCTGGTTAAAGATCAATTACTGCCACAAGAAATTTTGGTTTAAGTTTAAACATCCCTAAGTAGGTTATGCCTGTTRTCCTGAAGATGACAAGGGGGTTTTAGCATGACAGTAACCATTTCTCAGGTGTAGATTTCCTGGCTGTTGTTCCACAAGGAGCCAAAACCCCTGATGTCTTGCCCTGTCACTGAGGACTAGTGGTGTGGCCTGACAGCACAATGAGGGCCTTTGTAGGCATTTCAMCTTGGTGTCCTATTTCAAGCTGGGTGCTTCAGAAACTTCTTCACATACCACATTGTCTCTTTTCAATTCAAATTATTATTTTTGCCTGAGGGGATAGAAGCAAAACATAAACGACTATTTTTAATGCATGTTTTACTTCTCAGTTTTCCAGCATTAGTCCCCTCAAACCCACATCAGTTAGTGCAGCTGTAATACTAATCTCAGGAAAAGGGATTCTCTTCTCTCATGTTCCTTCTTCTGGTAAAGAAGGAAACGAAATTATTAAAGGAACATGAAATTGATACAGGCTCACAAGAATAGCCACTTGCAGTTTCAAAACCTTTACCAGTTCCTTCTTCACTTTCCTGTTCTTGTCCAAGGATGGTGTGGGTGTATCTGCCCTGATCTATTGAAGAGTGTTTTGCCCTCAGAGACACCAATTTAGCATCTCTTCATTCCCCCCATTCTTGCACTTGCTACATCCTAACCTTTTTCCTTAGGATGCTCTTGGCTGGTGATTGATGGACATTCCTTTTGTTTACATTCCTTTCTTGGATGGAAGCAAGAGGCAAAGCTGAAGCCTTGGGGATGCACCAGTGTCTCCAGGGAAATCAGCACTCCATGATTTTCTCTTCCAGACTGATCATACCAGGACTCTCTGCAATGCATGGTGCTGAGACCAGACTATCCTGTTGATAATCTGGTTTCACGGGGTTTAGAGCCTGATTTYCTGATGATTTCCTGCCTTGCAGTGGGTGATTCATATTGACAAAATGGGTGAACTGCAACATCACTGGGTGATGTTGYATTTTGATTTAATAGGATGCTGTGCTTGTGTCAGGAACAAAATAAAAGACTATTGATTTCAGAGGCTTGATCTGTTAATGCCTTTGCAGCTATGACAGTGGAAAACACAATGCATTTCTGGGGAAAAACCCTGCTTTATCAAGGCTGGTTTTGTTTCACTGACTTGTTTCAAGTCAATGTGATAATTTYACACAGTATTTGATTGCCACATGTCTGTTACTCCTTAAATCCTTGACTTTCTCACATCTTTTATGTTGCAAAGGGAAGCTGCCAGAACAGAATTGTCCATATCCATGGTGCTGCTKCTGAAGTCCAGCTCCTGCTGGATGAGAAGGGAAATCAGTGCTGTTTGACTGACCTCCTGTTAGTCTCCAGACCACGTTCAACACTGCTTTTTAACGTTTTTGGACTTGATTTGACTAAAACCTGATCTTTGTAGTTACSTTTTCTTCCATTTATGCCCTGCTAGAATTRGAGYTCTGCTCTGTGTGYATATAACCTGGACTGTTTTGTCAGCATGCTTGTAAGTTGTTTCAATTTAAATTTTGTTTACTTGCATGGAGAAAACAGTTTGAAGTCTGAAAATTTGAAATAAATGCTGAGGGCCTGAAGCAGAGAACCGAGTTTCAGCTGCAGAAAGATTTTCCACCCTGTAGCTGAAGTTTATTACCCCCTGCTGCTGTACCACAGCCCTCCAGGCTTGGCCTCAGCATGTTTTTTTCCTTTCATGTGTGGTGCTAGATATTTCTAGAGTGCCCTTCACTCCTTTTCTCACTTCTTACCCTTTAGCAAACAGCAAAGATAAAACAGCAAAGATAAAACACAAAGATAAGTCCAAAGAATGTTTATGCTAGAAATTTCCTCAAGCTGCAGGGGCATGAGTGACATATGGACATGTATGCCTCAAAAATCAATGCRATGCAAAAGCTGAGTGGCAGGGAGATTAATGTGTGCTGGAAAGGATTTAACAGTCTTGCTGGTTCCGTGCCCCTGCCTRGAGGCAGGTTTGGCCACAACAGAGTGATTGCTGGCAGATATTTGTCTCATCAGGTCTGGAAGATCTCACTGAGTCTCACCTTTCTAGCCACTATCCAGGGTTGCATTATCCTTGTAATTAAAAACATGCTGAAGCATCCCACTCCCAACATCTAATGCCAATCTTTTCCTTGGCAATGAGAGGAAGTTACTTTTTGGTTTGCAGRTTACAGAACAGCTGTCTGACTTCATACATCAGTCCTTCAGCCTCTTAAATCCCTGCTTGCATGTCTCTTTCCATCTCCTGAAAATCTCCAGGTCTTTACACCTCTCTTGAAGGGCAGCTTTCTGCTTGTGCTCTTGGCTTTTCTCTGGACCCTTGCCAGCTGGTCCATGTCTTTTGTGAAATCCAGCCTCCAGAACTTTGGTTCACTGGATTGCCAAGGGACATTTTAGAGGTTCCCTCCTCAGAGATACCCCAAAGCCATGTGGACATGGCTCTGAGCAGCCAGCTCTAGGTAGCCTGGCTTGAGCAGAGTGGTTGGACCAAGTGATCTCCAGAGGYCCTGCCAACCTCACCCATCCCATGAATTTGTGATCTGAGGCTTTGCTAAGTGTCACAATTCTAACAAGGTTCAGTGATGGCTGAACATGAGCCAGAGTGTGCTCAGGTGGCCAAGAAGGCCAGTGGCATCCTGGCCTGGATCAGCAATGGTGTGGCCAGCAGGACCAGGGCAGTGATTGTCCCCCTGTGCTGGGCACTGGTGAGGCCACACCTCGAGTGCTGTGTCCAGTTCTGGGTCCCTCAATTCAGGAAGGACTTTGAGGTGTGGGGTGAGTGCAGAGAAGGGCAACGGAGCTGGTGAAGGGTCTGGAGCACAAATCTGTGAGGAGCAGCTGAGGGAGCTGGGGAAAGGAAGCTCAGGGGTGACTTTATCACTCTCCACAACTGTCTGGAAGGAGCTTGTAGCCAGGAGGAGTTTGGTCTCCTCTCTCAAATAACCTGTGATAGGACAAGAGGAAATGGCCTCAAGTAACACCAGCTCAGGTTTACTTCAGATATTAAGGAAAAAGTTCTTCACAGAAAGGGTTGCCAAGCATTAGAGCAGGCTGTTCAGGTTGTCACCATCCCTGGAGGTAGCTAAAAGACACATGGATGTGGCATTTAGGGACGTGGTTGCATGGAATCATAGAATTGTCAAAAGACCTTTGAAATCACCAAGTCCAACTGTCAGCCTAACATGAGCACCACGTTCACCATTAAACCATGACCTCAAGTGCCATATCCACATTCTTTTTGAACATTTCCAGGATGGGTGAATCCCAGGTTTCATTGTGGAGTTGGCAGTACCAGGTTAATGGTTGGACTCAACGATTTTAGTGTCTCTTCCAACCTAAATTCTTCTATGTTTCTTCTATTCTTCTATTTAAATGAACATTTCAGAGAGAGGGAAGGTGAAGTTTTCMTAGAAGTCCAGAAAATTATGATTAATTTGAACAGCACAAATATTTTCCCTGACACACTGTCCTGAACTCAGTGACATTTGTTCCCTTGTCTGTCTTTTTTAAAACATAAAGCTCTGTTTTAGTGCTATCTTTTGGTGGGTTTTACAATACCTACATCAGGATTAGGATCTCATTATTGATTGGTATTTAACACTTGGATCACCTACATGGAGTAATGTTAATAATAATCTACATAATTATAATTTTTGAAATAATTCTCTGGGTTTCACTAGATGGGAAAAATACTTAACTAGATATTCAATCTCTGCAGATATTAGAACTGCCTGAATTAGACCAGTGAATGAACAAAAATATCATTAAATGCTCATGCCTTTACAAGTTTTCGCCCTGTTACTTGATCCTAGCAAAATGACACTGTCYGTAGCTGTCTGAATTAAGAACTGATAAAATACTGACTGCTCCAACTGCTTTCCTGAGCCACTCGCTCATGCTGTGGGTTGTGCATTGTCCTACAGAGCAATTGAGAGGAAAAATGTTAACCAGTGTTCCTGGGTATACGATATTGGTACATGAGAGAACTAGAAACCACATAATCTAAGAATTTCCTCTGGCAAATAAAACCATGTCTTAAATTACCTTAAATACTTTAAAAGCTTACAAAACTTTAGTTTAATCTTTTCCTACCTGGGAATGACTATCTCTGGGAAATTGGTCCAGCCTGTATTTGTACTGTGGGATAAGGTTGCTTGTAAGTACAGGTCTTGCATGTCAGCAAATGTCTATCTGTGGGTAGTCTTTTATTTAGTGTAACATSCCTGAGATAGACACTTTAAATTGTTTGGTATTTCTGGCTTACTCTTGCCTTTGGTGTTGGTTTTKTTTGTGTGTTCCTGTCTTCTTCCATCCTGTGTGAAATGTGACCTTGCTGAGGGCAGAGATGAAGGGTTTCCTGTATGAGACACACGTGCAGCTGGGTGGGTGTTTCATTTGACAATGGTGTAGCCCTTAACAGATCTGCAACCTCAATGCAGTTTGAAGTATGTGATCATATTTTAATAGGCAGAAAACGTGCATTTCTCATATTTACCTTTCTACATCCCCGCTTTATACATTTAGTTTTTCTTTTTATTCAAATCTGTTTTCTTTATTCAAAAATATATTCATTTTGATTTGAAGCAGAATCTCAAAGCCCCTTCTGGAACACAAATGCACTTAGGAAAATTTCTTCAACAAGCCCATATATACTTTTAGTGCCTGTTAGTGACTTGCTGTGATTTAAAAAGGCTTGACTATAGGTCTCCCTAGAGGTAAAAATACTGTGATTAAATCTCTGCGTGTCCTTTGCAGTGRAAGAGTCYCTCTCAGTTTGTTTATAGTTACTAWTGGATAAGGTCATAAATAACACTCCTGACTCAAGCTTGTGACCGAGCTGTCTGGAAATCCTTGTGTGTTTTGCAGATGATGACTGGTACCTGTGCCACGTGACACTCCTTGCCCCAGAAGAGGAGATTCTGTCCTGGGGCATGTACCCCTACCCGTACCTGGCACGGGTCGATCCCGATGCGCGCAAGGGCACCCTCATCTACCAACTGCTCGCACATTACAGTGGCCATGAAAACGCCACTGCTGGGATAACTTACACACTCATTGCAGGTAGGTCTAGTCTGACAAAAAGGTAAAATTCTCTGAAGCTGCAGATGTTTCTTAACAAGTTCCCATTTCATAATTTCATTGGTAGATTTTTCCCTTGGGGAATTCTTAAAGATGCAGCAGGTACAGCAAGCAGAAGCTGGAAGTGTTGTAAGTGAATGTTATGTGGATGGGAATCTTTCTTGCTGTCATTTTCTTCACTTCTATTTTGAAATTGTTGGCAGATTTACTGTTAGCTTAAGGCTCCATTTCTTACTCCTTCTTGTCTCTTTTACTGTCAACAAAACAGTGTGAGCRAAAGAGAAGGTAAAAAGAAGTGCAGACAAGGACAGAGGTGGATGGCTTGAGGATARCTTACCTTGAAATGGTGAAGGTGCAAATGTTGGTGCATGGGGGATGTCTCAGACCGGCTTTGTGCATGTTTTGATAGGTGGTGAGGAGCGGTTCCAGGTGGATAAGGACACTGGCATTATCATGACCACTGGCTTGCCCTTGACGTGGAACAAGGAGTATGTGGTTACCGTGGAAGCCTCTGATGAGTACGGCAACAAAAGCCCCTATGCCTCYGTTTCCATCCTGGCAGGCTCCAGACCTCCACAGTTCACCAACATGTCCTACAGTGTGTTTGTCCCTGAAAATACTCCAGCAGGAGAAAAGTAAGTTGTACTTTATTAGGCGACTCCCCCCTTGCAGTCTGCAGGAGCTTCACAGAGCACAGCAGAGTCAAACTTTTGTGGGTTTGATTCTCAGGTCTATGCATATGCATTTGCCTATTGCACTTTCAAAATAACATGTTTTCTAAAAGAAATTATGCCTGTTCTAATGTTTCAGAGTCTCCAGTGTGGCACGCAGGATGTAGTCAGGGACGCTGGAATTATTTTAATGCTCTTGGGGTCTTAGTACATTGCATCGTGAATTAGAACAGCCAAACTACTGGCTACACATCTCTTGGAGATTTAAACAAGTGCTTGAAAAATWGTCTTTTAATTAACCAGGTTTGGAGTTGTTTGTGTCCCATTTGACTTGTATTTAGATTTTAGAAAGACAAGTGTTGCCATACTGTTGAGATAATAGCACCAGTGTGAAGTGCAGATGGATAAAGCTCAGTCCCCAAGAGTCTCTGCTGTTGCATGAAGAGCAGCTAAGCCAAGCCACAGCAGAGATGCTCCCRAGCTGGCTCTGGGTTTATTGTCATTGTCACTGTTCTGCTACTKGAGAGAAGAATTGGCTTTAAGGCACCAAGTAGCAAGTGGAACAGTGCCATGAGGCCTCTAAGGAGCAGGAAACCTCAAAATAAACTGATGACCTAGGAAAAATTGCTGGAGATGTGCCACTAATCCTTAAGAGCAACTGAATGAGAAGGAGGAGGGAAATTTTTCTCCTTCCCTGGAGCTTTCAGTGAGATGAGCTAAAAGTGTATTGTCTTGCTGGTCAAAGACTGATGTGAGAGGTGGAACTTCAAAACATAAGTCACAGCAGGGAGGCAAACATTCCTTTGAAGTCTTGCCAAGATGGACAGCAGGATTTGGAAAGCCATGTGCTTCATGGGTTTTCCCATGTCTGAATCCTTTTCTGTTCTGAATATACAACTTCAGAGAAACTCATAAGTACAGTAGGTCAAATATGTCTGAATAACTGAGAAGCTGAGGGTAAATCARTAACTGCTGTCAAGCATTTAGAAGGGTACAATAAAGAAGAAAAAAATGTTTTAATGTTAGTGGTRGTTGAAATGGTTTGTTATTCCAGCCCTGCTTTGTCAGTGGATAAGTTTGGTGAGAGAAGAGAGGGTAGATGGGCTCCCTGTAGCAGAGGGGTTTCCAGTCTGAATACAAAGCCAAGCCAAGCACTGACAGAGAGTAAGCCAGACATCTTTCCTAATCCTTACTTTCCTGCTCTAGGTGCTCAGGATATAGCTTTTGTTGTTGTTTTGAAGCAAAGGGTTGTCTCTGATTCTTTGCAGAGTTGCAGTTGTGGAGGCTGTTTCTTTCCAGAGCCAGCCCCTCTCGTACACTCTGCTGACCAACCCCTCCGGGCTCTTCTGGCTGAGGCAGGAGAGTGGTGAGCTCAGCCTCACCCACCCCGTGGACTATGAGAGTGAGCACCACCTCTACCATCTCCTGCTGAAAGCCATGGAAGTCGAGAGCACTCTCAGCAGYGTGACTGAGGTACACGAGTCCCTTCATGTCCCACCAGGGTCTGCATCTTGTTACCTTGCTAGCTGAGTTACACAGAGGGATAGCCCAGGGCACTCAGGAGCTGGGCAAGGAGGAGGCTTCTATACAGACAAAGCTGGACTCTGACCCGGGCTCAGATCTAGGCTCTGAAAATACCTCTTATTTACTTTTTGGCTTTGCCTCCCATCTGCTTGGGAGTGGAGGAGAAAATACTTCTCTGTATGACAGGAGTAGTGTGAGRAAAACAGCATCAGAGGTGTAAGGATTGGACAGCAGCAGAAGAACTGAGTGCCACAGCAGAGTCCAGGAAGAGATGCTCCTTTTGCACAGTTGTAGGAGCTAACATCCACTCTCAGCATGTCCTTTTGTCTCAGGTCATGGTCCATATCACCGATGAAAACGACTGTTCTCCTGAATTCCAGCGCTCCATTTACAGCAGAGATAACATTCCTGAAACCATTCCTGTTGGCACATCCCTACTGCAAGGTGAGGACCATCCCTTTGCCTTCCATTTCAGCCTTGCCACAGACCTGCTGGTTTGTTCCCTGTTCATGCTCTGGCCATGAGGAAGTGCTCTCTTGCACAGGCATTGCCTTTGTAAGATGTGGCTGACAGCTTTCCTGGCTGTTTGTGGATGTCTTTTAGTTAATCTGGAAGTAGCGTTGTGAGTGTCCTCAGGTGAGGATCACTGTGCTGGACCCAAGGAGACACTTTGTGGTATCCAAGGGCAGTTAAAGCAGCTGGTTTTAAGGGGCTTAGTGGATTGCCACAGCTTGTYTCCTTTAGATGTTGTACCTGTCTTTCAAATAATCTTGGTAATCTTTTTGTGTCCCAGAAGCAGCTGCAACTAGWTTTTCTTAAGAAAAAAGTTAAGAAAAAACAGGGCTTTTTAAAATGGGCACCTAGTTTTATCAAATAGGTATTAATGCTGTATAGCTGACTTGTAAAGTGTTAAAGGGAAAAATTGGAAAGCCTATGAACTTAAATTTATGTTTATGGCTTACCAKTCATCATCCCATGTTTGTTGTGTTTAGCATGGATGTGTGTCACTTGCATATAATCTCTGAGTGTGCAGATGACATTTGAGAGGCTAGAATAGTATCCCCTAAAAGACTTCAGGGGTTATGAACCCTGAGAAATGATTATGTGCCAAGGAAAGACTTAGCAAAAAGACAACAATGTAAAATTGCCCAAAGCTGGAGCTGAACTCTGCAGATTGCAGAGGTGATAAGAAGATTAGCTTCCCTTGTGTAAGGGGCCTGCAGGACCTGCTTTCCCTAAACACTAAGAGAATTCAGAGCTTGTCATACTTCATTTTTAGATTTAATAGCCCTTGGGAAGAAAGAAGTTGGTCAGAATAATCAACTCTTAAAATTTCTAATCACTTGACTTTCCTTAAAGATGTGAATGTTCCTTTCTCCATAAGACTTGTAAAGCTCACAAAAAAAAATGTTGTGGGGGAAAAAAATGTATGCCACATGTCCAAAGCAAGCAGAATGTCAAAGATGTGCTATTGCATCCCAGGTTGTTGTCTTGCCACATGGGGTGCACTTCAAGAGAAAGAGACATCTTAGRAAAGAAAGTGTGAGGTGGAAGTGTAGTGACAGTCAGTGGAAATGGGTGTGTGAGCACTCAGGTGCTGTAGAAGGGCTGAGAGGGTTGTTAGTGGCTGCAAGAAATCTGTACCCTGTGCAGAAATCTGTGCAGAGGGAGACCTGTGCCACTAACTCTGACTGCCAAAGCAAGTATCATCTCAGAAAAAAAGAGGCAACAGCTCTTACTCTGGCTGTAGCTGCTTGAGGGATGCAGTACTGCATACTCTGAATGTCCCACAAACAAAAACAAAGGCAGATGTGGGACAGCCTTTGTGATTCTGGGCATGCCTGTAGCTGTTGATGGCCGTGGAAAAGGCAGTGCAATAAACGCTTTTGTTGAAACTGTGGATGATGTGAACGTAAGTTTTGGTTTTTGGTCCATCAGCCACTTTTATTTTAGCACTCTCAAAGTCTCAGCAGTGTCCTCAGCCTTCAGAACATGCACAGAGCCAGCACAGACCTGCTTGTGGCAGCYGTATGATCCTTCAAACATCCTTTGCAATGCACACCAGTTTCCAGGACAAAATGAAATGGAGGGAAATAGAATTCCCAGTCGCTCTTGGGAAGTCAGGCATGTTTCTGTCAYGTATGAGTAAGTGCCACAATCCCTATTTGCCAGAAAACATCTGAGGGGAAAGAAGTATATTGTTAAGCACATAGAATGTGTTTTTGTGAATGGATGCAATGGCTCACTAATGACTGCAGATTAAATCAGAATTTTTCAAATCAAATATGTTTTTCATGTTTTGCATGCCTTTCTAAAAACAATATTTAACCACTGTATCTGACAGATTTAAATCACTGTCRTTTTAATATTTCTTGAGTTTTTAATATATTTCATCTCTCAGTAAGCAAGAGAGTGATTAACTCTCAAGCCCTTGATTTTGTAGTCTATAACACACACAAATGTTTATTCAGAGMAGGATTTGGAGAGATTTTAAACAAAATGTTACAAGCAATCCTTGTAAACAAAGATGAGTAAATTTCCACAGGCAGATGTAGTCGAAATATTTTGCAGCTAAGTAGAACAGATTTTCAGTGTATTTTTGAAATAATTCCCTGCCCCTATCATATTTTGAATTAATATTCTGATAGAGACGTGTTGTTTCTGCCTCTCCTCTGTGGATGAGGCAGCAGCTGTTTGCTGTCATGTCCATGCACTGCAATCACTGTTCCTCTTCCAGAAGGCTGTGTGCCACCACAATGGCTGCATCTGTATCCTGTCAGTGGAATAAGGAGTTTGTTTAGTACCAGTGTGGGTATGAAGTGAAGCCTCATTGTTTGGCTAGAAAAATAGCAGGGTAATTGGAGAAGTGAGCTTCCGCTCTTAAAAATCACTTTTGATGCTACACGTGAGCTCCTGTTCTTTTTTGTGCTGGTTTGCTGCTCCTGAGCAGATGGGACACTCCACGTACTGAATAAACACTTACTGAGGAGGAATGTTTAATCACTCTTTTTACCTTGAAGCACCAGGTAATTAAACAGTATATAACTAGCTGGGAGCTAATTAAATTTGAACATGGCATTCCTGGAAAGAGTGAAGAACCAGTTTATGATTGCTAATGTTCAACCAACATGCATACTGATTGTGTGCTAATTACCAGTGCTGACTGCTATTTGTACAAAGCATTTTGGGGAGTATTGGGATCTCAGCTCTCTRGCAAATTCACCTGTCTGTTGTCACTCAGGCTGGGTTGTCACTCAGAGGGGAGAATTGTTTTAGTTTTTCATTCCCAGCCTCCTGCTGAGTCCCCATACTCTAACCACAAAGAAAGGTCTTTTATGGATGAAACAGTTTTAGGTGATTCCTATTCTCAAAAACWAACAAAAAAAACAGTGACTTGGTAGGAAACAGCAAGTTTGGTAGGAAACGCCAAACCTCCCTTGCAGTATGACTGTTCTGTTAAATGTGTTCTCTAATAGTGCTTGCAACAGACTGCGACTCTGGCTCCAACTCTGAGATCTCTTACTTCATCCAGAGCACTGATTTTTCCATCACACGTCACGGGGTCATCAATTCTAACCAGAGGCTGAACTTTGAGCGAGCAAACCATATGTACGAGTTTGTGGTGATCGCTGTCGATAAAGGACAGCCCCCTCGCACAGGGACGGCGTCGGTGCGCATTCGCATGGCCAACGTCAACGACGAGGCTCCTGTCTTCTCCCAGCCCATGTAAGGCACCTTCAACACCTGCTTTGCTTTTAAAAGATGCTGTTCAAATGTGTAACCTTAATAGCACTTGCTAAATGTTCACGGGTAGTTTTGTGCAACTCTAAGTAGCAGTGAAATCGAAGGGTAATTTTGATATAGAAAGGCTTTAGGAGTTGGACTTTAATTTCTAGATTGAATATTAAAATAAATACGTCAATTGTGATACCAGTATACTGACTTTATAGAGAGTGAACAGAATGAATCAGAGACCTGACTATACAGGAAATAATTTTGACTGTGCTGACTCCTAGGTCTCAAAGTGATTTTCCATGTATAAATAGATGACAGATAAATCTGGTAGTTAGCAAGCACTAAAACCAAATATTAGCATCAACAGATCGTATTGCAAACTAATTTCATGAGCCCCTGCTTGCTYAGATGCCTTTTTCTTTCCTGTTCCTAATCAATACAATTTCTACTCTTTGCACAACTTTGGAGTATGAACATATTTTAAATACAAAACCTACATATATTTATTGACAAAATTAATTACTTTTGTACATTAATCTCTGTAGTATCTGATGCTTCCCATTAATATATAGGGACATGAGAAACACTGCATGGTAGATACTAGTCCTTTTTCTCAACTTTAGAAGATATGTGATCCTGGTTTGCAGTACAATTAGTATGGTGCATATTGTTATCCTCCAAAAGATCCTTTGAAATTACATATAACAAAAGTATAGGATTATGATCCTGAAATATGTACCCGATGCCAAACAAAGAAGACCAAAGTCTTATCTTAACCAAATAAAGATTCCATAGTTGCATGCCCAAAGCTTTAAAAACCCCATTAATAATGAATCCATAATCTAGCCAGATGGTTAACAGGGTGATGGTTGTTCTGACACTGTGTGTGCTGCCATTGCTCCCTTATGTCCATCAGTTACAGGACTTTCCTTTCCGAAGATGCTGGTCCCAGCACCTTGGTGGCTACTGTTCGGGCAGAGGACCCTGATGGAGATGGGATACTTTATCTGATTACAGGAGGCAATGAGGAGGGCAACTTTGAACTGGATAGCCAGAAAGGTAAGGGAAGAGGTTTTAGAACACCGTTATTTACTGTCTAACCTCTACTGACTCTGCTCCACCTGTGTGTCAAAAACCATGAGAAAGCACCATAATTATATAATCTGCAAGTGGGGGTGCTTCATATCAGTGAGGATTAGTTCTTTCATATGATGGTTGTTCTTCAATTATCAACTTAAACTTGGGATCCTGGTCCAAGGCTGTGCAGACTAAGATGAGARGTTCCTGTGCTTTGCAATCAAAACACAAACCAAGCCAGCAATGCAGTGGCAGAGAAATACGATGCTCCCTTGATTTTGTGTGTTCAGACAGTAAATTAAAATGACACTTTGTGCTTCCAAATTCAGGTATCATTAAACTCCGCAGAAACCCACCGCCCCGCCTGAAAGGGCCACAGTACACCCTGAATGTCACTGCGATAGATGACAATGCCTCGGGGGGACCCACTCCTCTCAGCAGCTTTGCTGAGGTTATTGTGGGAGTTAATGACATTAATAACAACAAGCCTGTCTTTAGAGAGGTAAGATGTCTTTCTGCAGATATTCTTTTCCCATCTTAGCTCTATAACTGGGGTTATAGACTCATGAGCTACTGGTGATTGCTGGCGGGCTGAAGGGTTGTGTGTGCAGAGCAGAATGAACTTATAAATGAACAGATGTCAGTTTTCTTCATACATGCAGCATAAAGTCTTCATTCTCTTTTTCCTTCCTCTCCCTTAGAGACTGATTTCTTTTTGTGCATAATTAATAGTAGTGATTTTCCTCCGAATTTTTCTCAGACCTGCTGGAAAAAATATTGACGCTGTGCAGCAAATTCATGTGACTCTGTGTAACATTTAGGGTCGGATGTTTGGGTGTATTTTTAGTGCGCTTACTACAGTGACAGCACCTGGGTTCTGGAGAATCAGCCTCCAGGCACGCATGTGCTACAGGTAGAAGCCTATGATGCAGACCTCGGCATCAATGGAGAGGTGAAGTATGGGCTCATGCACCGAGACGGAGCTTCCCTAGGCTTCAGCATTGACCCAGACACAGGTCAGTAGCTTCAGGTCACTRAGAAAAAATGAAAATGACATTGTATTGAAATGCTGTATCAATATGTCCGGGTGGGCTCATGCTTTAACAGTGTAACTGCAGGATGAGCTGTGACATAGACATTTACAGAATAAACACTGGAAAACGCTCAGGGTACGTAGATAACGATGCACATAGATTAGATCACATTAAGGTTGCAGTGATTCAAATTATAGAAGCATAGAATGGTTTGGATTGGAAGAGACCTGAAAGATCAACCAGTCCCAACTCTCCTGCTGTGGGCAGGAACACCTTCCACTAGACCAGGTTGCTCAATGGCCCATCCAACCCAGCACTGAACACTTCCAGGGATGGGGCATCCACAGCTTCCCTGGACAACCTGTGTTAAGCTGTGTCTCACCACCCTAACAGTAAAGAATTTTTCACTAATCTAAACCTGCTCTCCTTCAGTTTAAAGCTGTTCCCACCTATCCTATCACTACATGCCCACGGACCCCCTCCAGCTCTTGTGYAGGCCACCTTTAGGTACTGGAAGGTGCTGTAAGGTCTCCCTGGAATTTCTCTTCTCCAGGCTGAAAAATCCCAACTCAGTCAATATTCATAGGAGAGGTGTTCCAACCCTCTGATCATTGTCATRWCYMTCCTCCGGATTYACTCCAACAGAYCCACATCCTTCTTATGTTGGGGATCCCAAATACAAATTAGGGAAACAAACCCCAGCTCARTAAGAAGATAAAAATGTATTCTGTATCACTTACCTTCCTATTGGATCAAAGGTAGCTGTAAAAATGTGGAGCTGAAAGTGTGATTTTAAGGCTAAGTTTGTTCTTCCCTACAATGTGGCCAAATTTTATTTCTCATCTCATGCACATATAGGAGATCCAATGCACTGCACACAAAACCCTCATACCAGGACAGGGCAATGATATCTTTATGTATGATTTATTTCAAATGAAGATGTTACACAGCTCTTGATGCTTCTATAGTCAAAACAGAAAAATGGGATATTGCTGTGTYCAGGACTGTGCAGGGGACTGGAAGGGCCTACAACAGAGCTGAAGAACTCTGAGCATAGTGGAGAAATAGGACTAGAAGTGGCCTCAAGAAGGCCGGTTTGAAAGCTGCTAACCAGAAGAAAATAACTGAGGTGGGAAGACTTGATTAATAGGAAGGAAGACCCAAAGATCTGGAGAAATTTGTTTGAATTATTACTATATGATTTTACCCAATTTTAACTTGTTCAATGAGGTCGTCTCCCTGTAGCAGAGATTACTTTGGTCACATCACTTGTGTCTTCTGTGGTGTGACCCTTTCTCAAAGTAATAATGWGCTGATTCAGTTATTTGGACTACCACTGGAGTAAACCTAGAGAGGGACTTCACTGAGCAGTAGAAAGTCCTTCTGTGCTCCTTGAGCCATGAGAGAACAAGGTACTCAGACAGCTTCTTACCAGGACAGCAGGAAAAAAGCAGAATGTAGCATGTGAGGAGAGGAGAGACAGGAGAGCTGAGCTGGTCTAGTCCAAGACATGCATTGCAGGGTCAGTGAGGATCAAGACTGACAGTTGTGTAGAACGTGGTCAGAGCTGCCTTTTGTGCAGGAGATGTGCAGATCCCTCTCTGCAAATCCATTCCTTAGGCTGTGACACGTGGAACAGGAGGCATCTGTGTTTGCAGGAGTCATCACCACCACGCAGAGTTTTGACCGGGAGAAGCAGAGGGAGTACACRCTGTCTGTCACTGCGACTGACCAGGCGCAGGAGCCGCTGATCGGGGTGTGCCAGGTCACCGTGCTCATTGCTGATGTCAACGACAACGATCCCAAATTTGAGAACAGTCGCTATCAGTGTGAGTGTTACTGAACTACTTGTGCCTGCCACATGAACCTGGTTAGAAGGTTATTCCTCGTAACAGTGATCAGTTTTTTTAGGTGACCAATCTTTGTTGCACACTAAGCCAGTTACTGTTTACCCCCTCATCAGTGGAAATGGGCAGAATTAAAGAACCTCTTTAAGCATTGCAGTTCTCTTAAAAACATGGACATCCTTCATTCCTACAATTGAGGCAGATCTGATCCCTTCTCCTTSTGGCTTTTCTCTGCCCAGATTTTCTCCACGCTGAATTTTTATTTGATGTCCCAAAACAAAGTATGACATGGTAGCTGGGAATTCAYCAACCCTGACTACAATTGTCATCTGTGTCTCTGTTGCACAGCACTTCTGTTTGAATAGACTGAAGTGGCATTTATGTCTTGTCAAACAGCACAAAATCCTTGGTTTCTAGGATGCCTTTGGCTGGAAGCCAATGCCTGCTGTGTGTGTCCTGCTGAGCTGGTTTTTCCCATTTGCCCTGGTGACATTCTCTTTTTCATCCCCGCATGATATGCTTTACATCAGTCTTTCGTTTAATTTGACTTGATGCTTCTCCAGTAGAATCCTGYATTTCATTACACTTGGACTCTATAYATTTAATGTCATCCACAAGTCATGAGCATAATCTCTGGTTGTTGGACTGGAACGGGTCCTTCCTTGCGTGGAATTGCCTGAAAATGGAAAAAAAAACCTGTTGCTGATGCATCTGCCAGCAGCTTCATTTTGGAGTTTTTTGCCATTTGTGTGAAAATGTCATGGAGGGAAAAGYAGTGACCAATGCCTTATTAAAATGAAGATGGCATATAAATAAATTGTCTTTAACATCACAGAGGCCAGCATTTTAGAAGAATTCAAAAATAGGTTGAATGTTAATATATTAGGACTTTAACGAGAAGTGACCCACTGGGAAATAAGCTAAATATATGTCCACTTCAGAATTATGCACAAGGACTGAAAGAAAATTGTGTTGCACCTTTTAAAGTATCTTGTAGTGACTAACTTTAAGTGCCAAATTGGTTCAAGTGTGTAGATTTGGAATAGCCATTTCYACATTCCTACCAATGTCTTCTGCAAAACTGACCAAAGCACCACTGAGAAATTGAGTAGGAATGATTTCTTTAGAGAAAAATATTTTTGAGCAGAGCAGACAAGTCCCTGGGATAATGTTTGTGCAAAGATGAACCTTTCTACTCCACCATCGCACATGTCCTTCACGTGAAACTGCCCAGGATTTTTCTTTTTGAAAAGCTGTGAATCTGAGAGGTTGCATTTGGTAATTATGATGGCTTCCGAACTTCTAAGGAATGGGCAGATTTTTTTCTTTTTTCATGAAGACAGGGTACCAGCAAAGGTTCTGAAGCAAAGGCAGCCTTTTGAGACAGCAAAACTGCAGATAATGAGGTCACTTCATGCCTAGCACTTTCTCTCTAGATAAGTCTCTACATAAGTAATCAATGCTTGTACGTCACAGGATTAAAAATAGCTTCTTCCCTAACAAGATCAAATGCCATTAGTCATAGGTTTCTGTTCATCCTGAAACTGCTGGTTCTTTATTCTCAGCACTAGGATGTTGGTCAAATCCCTGATTTAGCCATACATCTGATCATCTGCTTGCAAAACAGACATTAAAAAAAAATTTAATCCCTGTAGTAGGGATGGTACAGTACATATTAGAGTTGTGTCATCAGCAAGCAAAGCACATGAAATGAGAGAGTACAGCTCCTTCAAGTAATTTTGTATTTTTTCTTATAATGCAATTTAACAGAATTTGATTGTTAAATACAATATAAATGCACAGACACACACACAAAAAAGGGATTATTTTGGTTTTTTTTTTACAGTATTTCTTAGCAATTAATTCAATTTTCAATTATCTATCTTACTGCTGGTAAGTCTCTTCTGAGATTAGATTTGACATACCAAAGACAAGAATCCCAGGACAATTAAATGGCACAGGGATGAGTGAAGCCAATTAAATCTCAAATTATTGTTCATAGAGCAAATGGTTGCTGTGGTTTAGAGTTGTACTGCTCCACTGCTACAGATTAGACATCAAAGGAGAAGACCAAAACAGAAAACATGACCACTCCATAAGTAGTGTGCAGTTCTGATTATCCCACCTCAAAAATGCTAAGGGAGATCAAAGATATGAAACAATTTCTGCACAAGATATCAATTAACAGACTGAATAGCTTGCCAAAAAGCAACTGCARCACTCTTCCCATTGTCAGGGCCATTTTAATACACTGAGCYGATGGAGTCTTAAAGCGAGGAAACRGCTCAAAACACAACCCAGCAAGCACACATRACTACTTGGAGGAGGAATTGAGACTGGATGGCTGAGGATAGAGGGAAGAGCTGGACCAAAAATCAATGCAACATACAGATGAGTGTGGAAGAAAGACTGCTGGGATGCAATAGCTTCATATAAAACTGTGCCTCACAGAGTGGAGGGGAGCAGGAAATGCTGCTCATTATTTCCCATCATGTTGTTGGTGTCCCATTTAGAAATCAGCCTTTAGGAAGACAAAATTAWTTACTCTTCTGTGCAGTGGGCTCTTCAAACATGTGGCACTGCCACCAGATTTTAGATGAAAATTATCCAAGCAGGTTCAAAGAAGGATTTGTCTGTCTAGAACTATGGGCAGAAAGACATGACCTCTGTCACAGGTGGACTGCTGGGAACAGGGAGTGAAATCTCCGGAAAGGAACATACATAAAATGATCGTTGCCCTTGCCCTGGGCAGCTTCTCCAAAACATTGGGGTGTTGGAGGTACCTTCACTGTGACCTGAGTCTTTATGCTTTGCAATTACCTGGTGCCTCCCACTGGCAGTGCTGCTGGCACCGCTCATATTCAAGATTAATTCMATTCACACAGAATTCCCTTTGATGCCAACCTGCTTTTACCATCAGCTAAGCCCAGCAGGCTGGGCTGTGACTTGAAGCAGGGCATGTGAGCAGCTGTGGGGGTTGCCAGTGCCACTGTGGAGAGGCACAAATGCTGGCAGCAGCAGTGTCAGTAAATCTGCATCACCAGCAGCTCACTTAACACCCCAGCATGRCAGGGAAGAGGGAAGGGAAAGCTAAAAGAGGAATATAGACACTGCTAGTGGCAATACTTGGTAACCTGCCTTGTTACAGGAAGATTTACTCTCCCCTGAAGGGAACTGTGATGTTTTACAAAGGTATTTCTTTACACATACAGCCTGATAAACCAGAGCCGACCTGCTGACAATGCCTTTGTCTTTTCCAAGACTTCCTTAGCGAAGACACTCCAGTGGGGACGAGTTTCCTCCGAGTTGCAGCTCACGACAGTGACCAGGGTGTGAATGCTGCTGTCACATACTCAATGTTAGAGCATCAACAGGAATACTTCCAGATCAACCCCAGCACAGGCTGGGTGTACGTGAATTGCCCACTGCYCCAGGTAATGTGAGACTCTGCCTCGAAAAGAGCAACCTGCAGCCCCTCAAATGCATTGTAGAGGTTAATTGCAGTCTCTTGGTTTGTGCAAGTGGTTTTCAAGTATCCTCTMTCTTTGTTTGGTAGACAATGCGCATCAGCCGCTATATCGTAGCGACAGACGGCGGGAACAGGAGCAGCACCGTGGAGCTGACGGTGACTGTCACCAGTGCACTGAGCCAGCCACCCCAGTGGGAACAGAGCACATACTGGGTAACCATCCCTGAAAACACCATTCGTGACACCAAGATTGTGGTATGTTAACAGCATGACTACTTCCCTCTGTCTGCATTGCCCCTTCTTGCTGCGTTGTGCTCTAAGTCAAAGGTCCACGGGTGCCCACTCCACRTTTTTACTGCATTGCGCTTGTCCCTTATGAGCCTTCACTGCTGTGTACCCCATTAGAGTTTGTCAGGAGTACCTGTTGCAGAATAGGCTGGCATTTCGGCTGGCAGCATTTTCCCAGGGAGTTCTTACAYGAATGGCCATCAAGGTGTGCTTCCACAGGAGCAAGCTTTGTGTGCTGCTAGAGGAGGAAATCCTTGAGTGTTCCCACCAAGAGCCAGGTCCTCACTCCTCCACTCCTCCATCCTCTCAGTGGGCTCTGCCACCTGCTTCTGTCTTCCTTACAGATTTTCTCAGTTTAGCACTAGAGCATGGMGTGACTATAGTTTGCTTTGGGCTCTTCTAACTCAAACCAATTCCTTTTTAACCTATACAGACTCACTCGTTAAGGATAGGGCCTTCCATATATTGCCAGATAATTCCTGCCTTCCTCCTCCTCCATGTCATATTCAAGCACTTGTAAACAATTTAGGTTTGGGTTTTTTCTGTAACTTGCTGGGTAAAATGTACAACTCAGTGGAGAAATGGTCTCCTTATGGATGGCTTTTTCTTTGGAAGGAGGAAAGAGGAGGGATTTCCTTTAGCTGTGTTATGGTACTAGTTTGGCACATTTACAGACAGGTAAATTTCCTTTTGATTAAAGACCTGCATCAAACCTAGATATTGTAAAATAAAACTCACCTCTGTGAACTGTTTCTATTTTGTCTGTTACCTGAGTTGTCCAGGCATGTATGTTCTTGGAGAGCATACATGTATGTGCGTTTTTGCCATCAAACTCACCTCACAACRCTTGCAATCCCATGCTTCATGAATATATGTGGTGGCTCTTTTCTTCTTCAGACCATCAAAGCCACATCCCCTCTTGGTGATCCCAGGGTTACGTATAATCTGGAGGAGGGTCAAGTTCCAGAGACTAACATGCCAGTTCGTTTCTATCTGAAGCCAAACCGAGCTGATGGATCTGCTTCTCTTCTAGTCGCTGAACCACTTGACTTTGAGACAACTAAGTTTTTCACCCTGACAGTCCGGGCACAAAACGTAGCAAAGACTCCTTTAGCTTCCTTTGCCACTGTTTGTGTGAATGTAACAGGTAAGCTTTGCTGCTGTTCAGAACAATATTCTTGTGATTTTTAGTGTAATGCCATGAATTAAGGTAACATCCATGAAATGYCAAGCAACCTCAGGATTTTTTGTACATTTCTATACTGAAATAAGTTGTGCAGTCATTAAAATGGTTTGTCTGAGACAATTCCTAAGTACAACTGTCAAATGTGGAAATGTGATAGTGCAAATGTGGGCTGTCTGAATGCTTAGGCAGCATTAGTGCCTGGTTCTATAAAGGTTATTAGAAATATTTTCTTTCAAAAGGAGGAGAAATCTAGTATTTATTCCCAAGCTATTGAAAGGAGATGAGTATTACTGGAGCTAGTCTGTCCTACAGAGAGAGAAACAGCCAAGATAAGCTTGGTTTGTGCTGGATATCTGTTYAGAGTGTTTTTGTTATATTCAGAATTTTCCATTGCACACTGAGATTAAAACTATAGAAATGAAATAGCAAGGGTCCTTATGACAGGTGCAATTTTCAAAAATTTGATCCAACCTTCCTTATAGCAAGATCTTTTCATAAGGCTCTGTTCTCATCGATCAACATAAAACTATAAATCTRGTATTAATCCCTGCTTTTTGCAGCATTGGAGGAGTTACTTTTGTTAGGCAGACATTCAGAAAATATGAATAAGTTAAGTCTCCAGCAAAAAYATTTGTCTTGCCCACCACCATGGAAATGAGAATGGAGTCATAATTTGAATGAGAATCCAACTTTCCTGCTTCACTTTATCAAGGCATGTCTTGTCTTCCACAATCCACCAATGCCTGAGTCACATTGTAGATTATGGACTATGTCCCAGAAAGTTTTTCCTATAGTGGAGTTATTGGTACTAGAATTTGGCAGAAATTTCATTCTGCTCACTGAAGAAAACCTTTTTCAGTAATTTGGCTGTGGATGAAAGCCCTTGTGGTCCTGGCAGTCACGGGCTTGGTATGTCTCTGGTCAAATCATTAGCCAGTATCCCAGCTGAGATTAGGTCACTAATCCCAGGAAGGTCTCCCAGAAACTTCCCAGTCTCTGTAAAATGCCTCCTGACTGCTACCGTGAGRATGGGAAGACCCAAAGCAGGATTGCTTATTACTATGAGCAATGTAAGTTCTTCCTCCAAGCAAAATACAGTTGTGGGGGAAAAAAAGAAAAACACCATAAACAAAAAAGTCTTCAAATATTTTCTTACCATGACCCTCATCACCTCCTGTTTTCAGATGTCAATGATAATGTTCCATTCTTCATGTCTTCTAACTACGAGGTGTCTGTGCCAGAAGGAGCTGATGTTGGCACRTCCGTGGTTCAGGTGTTAGCTATGGACTTGGACTCTGGCCTACATGGAGAGGTTTGTCCTTGCATCCAATTCTTTTCCTCACAATACTCAAATTTTAGTATTGTAATGAGTGAGAACGTGCAGTCAGCAGATGGCAGGGTAATGAGCCACCAGCACTTCTCACAGCACTTGACAAGCATTTGTCTGTCTTATGCCTGCTGTGCATAACACGGGATGCAGGCAGGGAAGATGCTGTTCACGATCTCGGGGTCCTGCATTAGGGCAGCTCATCCTGGTCCAGCAGCCACAACAAAGCTCTGCTGCATGATTCTCAGGGCTGCTCCCATGACAAGGGGATGTGGCTGCAGGACATGTTTCCAAACTCTTGCCTCTTCAGCTCATTTTTTAATTGACCACCAGTCATGTCAGTTATTCACAGCCATTAAATATGGCCAATTAAAAACCATCATTGGTCAAACCAACATTYGACCATTATAGTAATAATGACCCAACCCTAGGAAAAAGCAGAATTCTGAAGGAAACTGCTCCTTTTTGTGCATTTTCCTGAGCCATTTCTAAAAATCCTATTACCTCTTCTGTGAAGAAACACTGGCTAGTGGAGAACTGCTCTGGAACTTTACTTTTGCAGTTTCAGAAGGTGAAACTGGTGTGGTAGAACTGCCTGGTGGTCCTCTGGGCATGAAGTGGGGGTGGGAATGAAAACGGGGTTTTTTTCAGAGAACAACCTTTATTAAAGGGAAAAATTTGAATAGCTTTCATTGCTGGAGGTTTTCATTTATTTAGTCTTGTTGAACAGGACTCAGATGATTAGCTCCTTTTTTTTTTATTATTTTTCTTTTTTTTCTTTGAGCTCAGAAGCAGGCACAGTGGATTGCTAGAAGCTGAGGCAACACCAGGGAAGATGCCACTCCATACATTCTCTGTCCTTCTGTTATTCATGATCTTTTTTAACTGCTCCTACTGATTGCTGTTGGAGATTAGATACTGGGCTTGATGGGACTTGATATCACTGGTATAGATGTTTTTCTATTTGAGAATGCTGCACTTTTTATAACAAAATGGACAAAAGACTTAGAAAAAATATGTTCAGATGATCTGTTTTTCCTCAGAGAGTTGTTGCTTTGCAGACAGAACCAGGAGGCTACTGAGGAAGGGGGAGGTCACAGCACTTGGGCATTCAAATGAAAATTGAAAATTTACCTCTTCTAACTAYTTTCTTTTTAGGTTCACTACTTAATATTGAAAGATGTTAATGAGGATTACCGGTTYTTCACCATTGAACCTGAGACAGGAATTATTTCCACCCAGGCATCTTTTGACAGAGAGAAAAGAGCCTCTTACTTGATTGAGGTTCAGTCTCAGGACTCATCAGAATCTGCTAGACCKGGTGTTCAGGGGCAGCCCAACACAGGTAAAACCAAGAAGGAATTCTATATTGGGCTCTTTAACTTTCATAGGCTGGGTGGTTATGCAAGGTGTTAGGAATAATGCCATTTCTGGTCTRTGTGTTCCTCTTGCCTCTCCTTCTCAGACACAGCCTACGTAAGGATTTTTGTCAGTGATGTGAATGACAACGCTCCGGCATTTCCTCGGTCAGTGTATGAGGTCAGCATAGATGAGGACAGGGATGTTGGAAGTCYTGTTGTGACAGCATCAGCAGATGATGAAGATGAGGGTGAGTGGACCCTACGTGTGTTTTAAAGTCCTTTCAGTATTAATGTGTGTTGTACATGGGGCTACTTCCTTCATGGACAAATAAATCTCTGCATTCAAGAGGCAATTACACATTTCAAGCATTTATAAAAGTGAGAAGTTCTGGGCACCTGTGACCCTTTTCTTTAATTAGGTGCTCAGATTTGCAGTGCAAAGGTTAAGTTAGCTGGCAATCTCCTTGGGGCAGAATGAAATCACCTGGAATCACAACACTGCTGCAACTTCACACTCACTCTTTCCTGAGCACATGCTTGCATTTTGCTGACTCCTGTTCTTTCTAGATCTCACTATAAGTCAGCTTTATTTACCACTATTGTAAGAAAACCAAACATGTGCTTTTTGGTGAGATAGTGGGTTGAATATGCTTGTGAAAGAATCTGACAAGGGGTGGAAAATGTGGGATGACATGGCCAGAAATGAAGTCAGGAAGCAAGGGAAAGTCAGACGTTCTGTTTGGGCTCATGCTGACACCAGCTCTGATGGTCTGAAGCTGCCCCAGAGTGTGTCAAGACCTGATGGGCTGAGCCAGTCCAACAGCACATACCACCAGCCAGTCCCTGCCTTTGCTTTTTTGTTACTTCATGAGCTGGTCCAGCTCAACTTGCTCAAGAAACAAACCTGTTGAATAAAAGAATGCAAGCTGGTGACAGAGCCCAGGTGAGAACCAGAGGGACATGTTGCTGGGAGCAGGTGAGATCTGGGCATTCCTTTCAGTGGCAGTGCTGCAATGCCTGTGCCTCTCTGTGCTCATGAGGGAGGTGTGAAGAGGCCATGTGAAAACAGCTGCTGCACTTGTGAGAATGTGACCAAAGCTACGAGGATGAAATGCTCAAACTCTTGCTGCAAAGGCAGGCTCTTCCAAGCAATAATGTTGAGCACAGCCTTTTCACTTTCTAGTCATCCGTGTTGCCCTAGTCTTCCCATCCACAGCTGACTCACAAAAAGCTGAATGTTCCTTTTGCTCCTRGAAGTTTACCTATTTAATTTGAGAAATGACTTTGTATRCTGCAATGMAATGTCATGTATTTTTTACCTTTCYAAATAAGTAAGCAGGAAGCACTAAACTCTTTGTTGTTGCTCCTGAAAGATTTGCAGCAAACAACTGCTGCTGTATAGGTGGAATACTCTGAGATGARTTCTTGCTCAAAGTAGAGGGGTTCTGTTGCCTTTTAGCACCACCCAGTGGTTTAAAAAAGTTTAGGAATATTGGCATTTGAAATGAGCTGCTTAGGAAACATTGAGTAAAAATAGCTTCTAGTATTTTCATAGTTGTTACTATCTTATTATTGGCAAATGAATGCACAATAATTTAGAGGGACACAATTCCTCCACTATCAATCAACAGGTTCTTGTCTGTGTTTGCAAATTATACTTGTAAATATAAATGCAGACCTAGCTTTCTATCTACCATATACAAACCCTTCAAATTACATACACAGATCACTGTGTCTGTGTCTGTTTTATCACACACACACGCACTGTAACAGTCTGGGCAAATGAGGCTTCTCATGAATACTTGTCCATTGTGCATAGCTGGAATGAGCATTCATGGAGTGAACAGGCAGCAATTGTTTCTTTCTCTTATAGGTGCAAATGCCAAACTAAGGTATCAGATCACATCAGGAAATGTGAAAGGGGTTTTTGATGTGGAACCTGAGATTGGAACTGTCTTCATTGCTCAGCCTCTGGATTATGAACAAGAACAACATTAYGAGCTCCGGCTTGTAGCTTCTGATGGAAAATGGGAAAACCACACTCTTATCATCATCAATGTTGTCAATAAGAATGATGAAGCACCAGTCTTCACTCAGAGTGAATACCAGGGCAGTGTCTTGGAGGAACTCACAGATCTGCCTGTACTTGTCCTGAAGGTAAAGCAGTTTCCACAAAGTCTTTGTGTTCAGATCAATCCCACCTATTCACACAAATTTAGAAGGATAGTTTATTTAGGGTGGATGAGGCTTGGTATTAGGACTTAGCTAGCAACTTTCTATAAAGAATAGAATAAAGCAAGACTGGTGATTTTGCATGGTGGACTTGCTGTCTTGACCAACATGRAKAATGATTKGATTTGATGATCTTAAGCATCTTTTCCAAACTGATTCTAAAATGATGTCTAAAATKATGTGATTCTAAATATTGAAAAATKTGATGACTTTTCATTACAAAGATTTGTCATATTTTGAGTAACTGAATAAGCACAGAATGGTTGGCATGTGTACCTCATATATGTAATAATTAAATTTATACTACYAAATAAGCATTACCAGGGATTGCTCTTTGACTCCAGATAAATAATCTTCATTGTTTTGTTGTTAGAGTGGTTCCTGGTAGGCCCAAGTAGCAATCTCCCAAACAATCCCTGGGTGCAAATCAGGAGCTGGGAGTTCTCTCTGGCCTGTGCTGATCATCAGCTTGGATGTATGGCCTGTTTTCACAGCATTCTGTTCACTCAGAGAGAATCAGCCTCTGCTTGCCTTTGTGTTCCAGCTCGAAAGAATTTCACAAGAAATAYTGGCTCAGCAGAACTGTTATTATTTTCACTTGATTCTTCCTATGGTTTTTTCCTCTTTCCAAAATAATGCTGGGAAGTAGAATATGTTAGTCTGTCGAAATGGCTGTGCATGGCTGGGCATGATGTTTATTGAAAGAGTTCTTGAATAACTGAAACCAATAGACACTTGCTGTTAAAATGCATGCTGTTCATTTAGCCTGCACCATATTAGCTGCCATCAAAAAGAGAACAGTGATTTCTTTAATTTCTTTTCTTTAATGTGAACACATGCCTGCTGTGGCTTGTTCCAGGTTTCTGCAACAGATCCYGACCAAGCAGCAGATCAAAATGCCATTAACTATTCCCTGCACGGCCAGGGGGCCAGCAGCGAATTCAGCATCGATGAGAACACCGGTGAGATCAGCGCAAATAAAAGRCTGGACCGTGAGAAGCGATCGACGTGGCGCTTTCTCGTTCTTGCCACAGATGAGGGCGGAGAGGGACTGACTGGCTTTGCTGATGTGATCATAGAAGTGAGGGATGTGAACGACAAYGCCCCCCTTTTCCTCTGTGTGTTGGATGGCTGCTTCACGGGCCACATCCCTGAGGACTCCCCAGCTGACACTCCTATCATGGAAATGACGGCAGTGGACCTCGATGACCCAAAGGCTGGTATAAATGCTGTGCTAACATACAGTATCATTCAGAACGTCAAAAAYGAAATTAATTTGAACTTGTTCTCCATTGATTCAGTCAGTGGCACCATCTCTACAGTGCTTGGGTCCYTGGACCGGGAGAAGGAAGACAAGTACCTGGTGGTGGTTGAGGCCAGAGACGGAGGGGGGCTCACTGGGACAGGCACYGCCACTATTTTGGTGACTGACATAAATGATCATGCTCCAGTCTTCCTGCAAAGGATTTATACAGCATTTGTCTCTGAGAATGCGAGTATTAACACTGAGGTGGTGGTGGTGTCTGCTGTGGACAGAGATGAGGGRGAAAATGCCATGGTAACATTCAGCATCCTTGATGGGGACAATGACCGCAAGTTCTCCATAGAGACGGATGAAGTCAACAACTGTGGGTTTATCCGGCTACGCAAACGGATTGACTTTGAGAAGCCTCATGAGAGGGTATTCAATTTGACTGTGAAAGCAGAGGACATGGATTTCTTCAGCATCGCTCACTGTGTGATCTATGTGGAGGATTCGAATGATCACGCTCCTGTCTTCTACCCCCAGTTCTATGAAGTGGCTGCTCTGGCAGAAGATGTACCAGTTGGCACCAAAGTTATTCAGGTTTCTGCTGTTGACTTGGATTCTGGCCTGAATGGAAGGTTTTCTTTYCACCTGCTAAACAAGTCTGATCCAAGTGGCCAGTTCTCTTTGGCTAGTGATGGGTGGCTGATGGTTGCAGGATTGCTGGATCATGAGAGAGTGACACAGTACCAACTCATTGTCGTTGCCACTGATATGGGGCAGCCCCCTCTGACTGGCAGTGCCACTGTTTTAGTGACTTTGCAGGACGTAAATGACAAYGGCCCAGAGTTCGAGGCGCATTATAACCCAGTGGTCTGGGAAAACACAGCTTCTCCACARGTGGTCCAAATGAACGAGACCTCCACGCTGCTGTATGCCAGGGACAGAGACACTGCTGTGAACGGAGCGCCTTTCTCCTTTCGCCTGCTCGGTGACCYCAATGGCCCGGCCAGCTTCAGCTTGCAGGACCTCCACAATGGAAGTGCCATGCTCACCGCACTGCGGACCTTTGACAGGGAAGTGCACAAGGTGTTCTACCTGCCCATCCTGATCACAGACAGCGGGATCCCACCCATGAGCTCCACCAACACRCTGACCGTCAACATCGGGGACCAAAATGACCACCCGCACTCTGCCGGCTACATGGAATGTCTCATTTACAGCTATGATGGTAAATYGCTCTCTGATGTTTGCTTCCAGGTGGGACATGAGGTCAAAAGAGGCAGCTGTGAGCTTCACAGAGGACTCTGTCCTGTTCTACATAAGCTGTTAGTAGAGGTGCTGCTGAAGTTTGCTTAAACCCTGTCAGAGAGCAGTAGGTATGTGGGAYACAGCACTCTGTGGAAGAAAGTGAGCCAGCCTAGAGGAAAGCATGACTGGTTGCTTTTCTTTGCACCTTTCTATCAAACTTGACTAATGATCTYTTGATTTCAGATACAGTTTTTCAGCAGCATTAACATTTCAGGGAGAAAAAAATTACCGGAGTTCATAACGTTGCTGAGAAGTGAGGAGTCTGAATGCTGAGGACCTTCTTTCTCCTCCTTAAACCTTTTTCCTCCAAACTAAATTGAGCTTTTGTGAGTACACTTAAGCTGAGCTCATGTGTAAACYGCTGAAGCATTCAAATAAGTCTTTAGCTGAAAAATGCTGTTATAGGAGAATTTTCTGTGAATGCTGGCTGAAGGCAGTATGTAAGAAGCCATCTTTCCCTTCTTGCTTTGGCAATTAGGCAGCAGTTTTCTTGTGATGCGGTGTGCCCACATAATAAGCCCAACAGCAAAATAAACTGCACAGGTAAAAAGATTTTGGGWTGCTTGCATCCACATTAGCTCAGGGCATTCCTTCCTCTTCTACTCTGCTGTGTGTCCTGTGGTTTGATAGCACATTAAATAGATTGTCTCTTGTGGGCACACTAGAAATTACTTCTGAGGTAGATGGCATTCATGTTTATTTGTACTGAGACATTCCTCTGCCTGTTGCATGATTACTCAAACTYCCCTTACTGTTAAGTTGAAAACAAGTCTGTTTCTATTTGCTGAGAAACTCTGCTGGTAGCTTAAATACCAAACCTTTTCATTAAGCCTGAATTCCATTTTAGTTGGTTCTTTAAAATAATCRSTTAATTTCTRGGAGAGACTATTCAAGAATTTCATTTCTTTGATTAGTTAAAATGTAAAGGAGRGACAGAATCAGAAGGCTACTATCAYATTGTATGTTACATTCATGTATTGTGGGAATCAAACACCAGGGCATCCTGTATACTCTCTCCTGCAAAACATCCAGTGAATGTCACCACAGTTGTCAGAGAGGTACAGTTTTCTTTCTTTGCATTCAGCTCCTCAGTTGTCAGGGCTTGTGCTGTTCCTTGTCACAAGGTGAAATTCTGCATTTATCCTCTTTGTGTATCCTTGATTCTTTAATCAGGACATTTATGAGTTCAGATACCTATGGACCTTTTCTTCAGAAGTAAGTTTTGTAAATCTAGAAAATAATAATCTGTGAGTTTGCTGAAAAGATGCAAAACCAACAGAATACATGCTGCTTTTGATCTCACCCCAAAGTCTCACCATTTATTCAAAATAGGCCTGGTTACTGTGTTTTGGACATCCTCTCAATTTTTGTAATTTTTGTAACTGCTTTTTTTTTTTTTTCTTTTGGCTCTTTAAAACCCAGTCTGCATTTTGGTTGTTTATCCTGCCAAACACCAATCCCCGTTTAAACCCCTTTGTAAGCTGATTGGATAATGCAGATAAAACAGTGAAAATTCTCAGAGGTGGCTTTTCTTTTTTCCTTCCCACTGCTTTTCATTGCAGCCATCTGTAGCCGATACAGCAAGCATCTCATGAGTAGGGCACCATGTGGCATTTGCAGACTGGTGCACRTCTCTCAAAAACTGCCACAGCTATTTTTGTAGAGGTCTTAGGCTTATGGCACAGGTGCTTAGACTGGTACAGGTTTGTGTACATGTGAGAAGTCTGACTGTGCCACRTGTATGCTGTGTTGTTCTAGGTATTCTCCCCACGACTGTACTGGGCCAGGTCAGTGCCCCTGATGCTGATGACTGGGATCACAAAATCTACCAATTCGAAGGCAAAACATCAAGGTATTTGGAGGGGAAAATGAGAGTTGTGTCMATTTTATGGGGAAACTGACCACTTACAAAATCATAGCAAGTATTTACACTGACTATTTTTTGAAAACAAGAGTGCAAAAGCATTTAGTTGGTTAGACACTTCTGTGTGTAGATCACTTCTGAGTGTGAGGCTGCTGTAAGTAACCCTCCATGCCAAAACACTCTGCTTCCCATTGCCTCACGGGCCAGAATTCTAAATTCCTGTTCACAATCATACCCCAGRAAAAATACCCACTAACTTCCAGATTCCTTCATCCAAGCTCCTGGTGTGTCCACGTCACCACTGGTTTTAAGACCTTATTTATGCTGGATGTATCCCAGACTTGGGAGTGTCTGGATTGTGACTGGGGCTGAGAAATACACGTGTCACTCAGAGGTTTTGACAGAGATGTCACTCTCAGTGAATGTATCTACACTAAGAGTTTGCGCTGTTTCCAAAGTTACTGCTAATGCAGCCTTAGTGTTTCTGCACTATTAACACAGCGTAGCAGCAGGAAGAAACCTTCATGATACTGGTGAAGAGTCATTGGGGGCCAACACGAGGAAATGTAAAAAGTTCTGTTCTGCTCTGTCCCTTCACGGGGGAACACATCTGCTTTCTTTGATAAATAGAGAGTGGATCAGCAGATCCATCAGTTGTGATAATTAGTACTTAGCTTTTGAGCTTCTCATAGCTTGGCTTAACTCTTATTACAGGTACTTTATCCTTAATGATAACTCAGGTTTGCTGACTATTAAGGAAGGAACCCCACCGGGAACATACAACATAAGAGTTAGAGTCATTGATGGAGTCTGGCCAGATGTTATCTCGACTGTAAAGGTTATAGTGAAGGAAATCAGAGATGATGCCCTCCATAATGCTGGTTCTGTACGAATAAAAGGTAAGAAATGTACTCAAGCATGGTCCACATCTTTAATGTTACGCTGTGAGACTTAGAATTCTGCTTAGACATGGGGTAAGAATTAATAGTTTTCTAGGTAAGGGGTTGAAAATGCATCTTTGCATGGTCCTCTGATGCTGCATGTGAAGGAACATCTATGGAAGAAAAAWGACAGCAAGAAAAAGCTTGTCTGATTTCTACACCAACTTTCAAAAACCCCAGCAACTCATATTTCAGAAGAAAAACTTTATTCAAACAAGTGTCTGCCTGAAATTCACCAAATTCTTTCAAATGTTGCAGAAAAGTAAMATCTTCTTAAACATGTYTCTGATYTAAAAAAAAATTAAAAATATAAATTAATAAAAGTCAAACAATGTTCAGAATGCACACACTTAACAGAAGCAAGCATGGAATATTTCAGAGCCTAAAAATGAAAATACTCCTTAAATTGGAGTTGAGTGCATTTTCTGCAACCTTAATATTTATTCTGTGATGCTCCTCTCTTCTATTGCTACAACAATTGCAAGAAATGTGTTTGTCAAGTTTTCTACTTTTATCACAGGTATCACACCAGAAGAATTCATATCCCAATCCCCTGAAAAMCAAAGTAAATACTACCAGATGAAGAAGCTGCTTTCAGAAATTATCTCAGTTCAAYTGGAAAACGTTCATATTTTCAGTGTACTGAATAGCCCAAGTCCAACCCGAGGGGTTGATGTTTGGTTTGCAGTTTATGGTCCACCTTATTATAAAGCAGAAAAACTAAATGGCAATGTAGCAGCTTCCAGAGCATGGGTAAGTATCTGTCCTGTGTGTGAAACCACAGCATCATCCCATCATCTCTATTTGGGTAATGCCCATGTCCTAGTGAGTGTGAACAATTAGAATGATTGAGGGAGTAATGTGGGAGGAAAATGGATATTTTTAATCAGTAAAATCAAATAATCCTTTTGCTCTTATACTAAAAGTTTCAAATATGAATGCTTTAAAAGCCAGCCACTAAATACATACTAAGTCACTTAAACACAATACTCTTTTAGGACTATAAACGTGTTTTTCCTGTTGAAGAGTGTAAAACTGCATAAATAATAATATGTTTGACTGTTGCCTTTCTACAWGGTGCCTAAATGCTCCAATTTCTAGTTCTCTGACTGAAACTCACAAACCAGTCAATCATTTCAAGTTTTTAAACTTAAGAGAGCAAAGCTGTAAAAGTGCCACTTTGCAGTAGAAAACCAGGCTGGAAAATATGTGTTTAAAATTTAGTAAACTTCCAGTCCCTCTTGCAAAAAAAAAAAAAAACAAAAAAAAACAAAACCCTTGAGAAGAGTTAAATTATTTGCTCTGTTGGAAACATGTTGATGCAGAGCTGTACCCACTCATTCTTGCCAGAAAAGGTATTTCTTCACTATCCAGTGCCTGTCCACATTCCCAGTATTTTTAAGCCAGTAGTTGAAATCAAAAATATAGTTCAGATGTTGTGTAAATAATGCATCAAAAGCATTAGGGATTACAATTAATCCACTCAATCTCTAATGAATATTGACAGTATTTTTTCCCTTGAAATGCTTATTCATGCTGTAATTGACTTACACCAGGCTTTGGCCTTAACAGMTGTCAGACTGAGCTGCCTTTGGCTGGTTAGGGTGAGGTAGACATCGGAAGGAATTGATACAGAAGCCAGTGCTGAAATTAAATAAAACTTGAGCTTTTCATTGCTGTCATCGGTGAACTTTGTGGAAAAGTCAGATGAATGCAACTAATTGTTCTTCACAGCTGGAAAGCATTCTGGACATTAATATCACCCAGATTGGCATTGATGAATGTGTGACTGCAGACTGCACTCACAGCAGCGGCTGCATCAGTAAGCATGAACAGAACCATGTACCAACCATAACCACAGCTGGAAGCTTTTCACTGGTGTCTGTGACTGTCCTGAGTCATGCTGTGTGTGGCTGTGCCGCTCGGGAGAATCCTCATCTTTCCTGCTCCTCATACCAGACAAATCCTTGTCTCAACGGTGGCACATGTGTGGATACTGATTTGGGCTACAGGTTGGTAAAACTTCATCTGGTGTGCAAACAAAATGCATTTAGTGCAGTCTGTAAGGAAGATGAGTCAAAGCTTTAGGAACCATCATTGCACATGTYCTCACTATGGCAGGTCTAAGTTTTGTTATACTTCACACACAGGTCTTGCAAAAGAACCTCTATTTTCAGGTATATATATTTCAGATTCAACATAGTCACATGGATATATTGTAGTTTAGACTAAATTTAAATTGTGTTTGTACAAACAAGTCAAAACATTTTTGACARAAGTTTTGCTACTGCTTCACCTGTACTATGGCCTGGGGGTCACGGGGTCCTGTGTTTAAAGTGGAGAGTCCTGTTGTCAGRAGAGTCCTTTGCATCTTCTAGTTGGATGGTTGATATTTGCTTTTATTTTTTTTATTTAATAGRTGCAAATGTGCTGCAAATTTTCATGGACCAGACTGCCAGCAGACAAAACACAGCTTCAGAGGCCATGGTTATGCCTGGTTCCCTCCTCTTCAGCCTTGCTTTGAGAGCCGCATCTCCTTAGATTTTATCACTGAAGTTGTTGATGGCCTTCTGTTATACCATGGACCAGTGGCASAAGGACAGCCTGGAGAACAGGAAAATTTCCTTGCTTTAGGTTAGCACCTTATCAAGTATGTGTTTGTGTTTATGTAAAAGTGACATTGTACTTAGTTCACAGGTTTCGGTGATTTTTTTTTTTTTTAAGGCTCAGAAGGTTACTTTTGGAAAATAAGAAGAATGCACAATAGTTTKCCAGTATGCCTAGTTCATATCCTTGTGTCACTGTTAGAAGTTGGACTTTTTTAAGCTGTCTAAAGACCTTCTTCAACTAAAATCTAATGACTGCAACAGTGGTTTCTRCTTCATTTGAGTGGGAACATGGTTACTGCATATCCAATAAGAGTCTTTCCTTTGCAGAACTCTGTGGTGGTGTCCCATCGCTGACCGTGAGCCACAGCTCTGGTGAGCTTTTCCTGCAGCTGTCACAAAAAGTTAATGTTGCAGATCGCCGCTGGCACAATATTAAAATTATAAATGATGGAAAGGCAAGTGTAAATATGGGCAGTCCTGCGTAAGCATGAACCCATGTACTTTGTAACTCCTTCCAAATCCTTCCTCCCTTCTGTAGAACTCTTTTATCAGTCAATTTTCCATCATCTCTGAAACAGCAGGGATAGGAGTCTGTCAGTTTAGATGTCCTCTTAGTCTTGAAGCAGTGAAACAGAACAGGGCCTGGAGAAGTCTGATCCAGTTATTAAATTGGCCATGCTATTTCCTTTGTTTAGTTACCCTGCCTGCAGCTTAGATAACTGAGTTGTGATAATCCAGGGCCTAAATGCTTCCTGATCTGATTGAGAGAAATATTCMTACTTTATCTGAGTGAGAAGCCCTGTCCCACCAAGAGACAAGGATGTGTGGCACAAAGGACATAGATGTGCTTTTGTGTGCAGGGAATTGTCTTGCTGATATAACACGGCTGAAGGCATCTGCTAGGCTCCCCCTTTCTCTCCCAAATAAGACAAGTTGAAGGGCATGTCAGGGTCTGGGATGGGAGCCTGACAGACCTTCTACTCTGCTAGGTTATCTCTCTGTTCTGATTTGRCAGAAAATCCCAAGAAAATCTTATRYTCTCTYTGCTATGCCAATGACTTGACATGGTCATGGAAGAGTCAGATCTTCCTTTTGTGTGGCCCCTTAGTTATACACCGTGAAAAATAACCTTCCAGATTAGTACATGGAGTATTTTATTATTTTAACAAAGTTTCCCGCACTGTAATTGCTAGTTATTGTCCTAACTTCTGCTAAGTGAGAAAGAAAATACTCAAAAGAAGTAATTAAAATATATTTTAATATATGTCTATAGACATAATTATATATACATAATACTTATTACATCCTTTTTTCTAGGAAGTGAAGCTGATTCTTGACCACTGTGTAAATATTTCAGTTAGAGACAATGGCAGYGTCACTAAAAAGATCTCCCAAAT